CTGCTCCCTATTAATTCTTAACATTGACAAATTCAATTCAAACTATTTACCCAAATATATTTGATCGTTAATTTCTGAAAAAAATATGTACAAATGACGTACCCTTAACCATTGACAAATTGTCCATTTTGCGGTCTGATAATTTAACACACGAGAAGAATGTTTAGTGTGAATTCTGCTCATGTCTGGCTCTAACGAAGCTGTACACAGATAGGTGATGTACGGGTGTCCCTGCACAGATAAATGATGTACGGATGTCTCTTCACAGATAAATGATGTACGGATGTCCCTACACAGATAAATGATGTACGGAAGGCCCTACACAGATAAATGATGTGGGGATGTCCCTACACAGATAAATGATGTACGGAAGGACCCTGCTGTCGTTAGTCTTTGGCACTCCGATACGTAACCAAGCGTTGAAGACGTGGTGACAGGAACGCGTGGACGTGTGTTAAAAGGGTAATGATTTATCTACTGAAGGATAATTCACGATCTTTGCTCTATAACCACTAGTTAGGACAAAGGCAGCATGTTAGATCATTCCAATTAATCTACGCTTAAAGTTATTCAGCCAACGAAGCAGCTTATCCGCCGACCCTTGAAATCGGGAAATTTGGGAATGTCAGCGAACACATTAACGAATTTATCGTCAGGAAATTAATTCCGTTCTTGTGGACAAGAACAATATCTCCTATTTAAATTTTTTCTTTCTGATTTAGTAATGCTTTGTGAACATTCGTGGTCGTTTTGGATTGATTATACTTTTAAGCATTCTGTTTAACTTAGCTTGCAATAATTGGGATCGACATTAATTCACAAAATTTAAATTATACTAAGTTTTGCACAGAGTAGAGAGGATAACTTTAATAGATATTTGTTTTTGATCAATTTTTGACATAGAGGTTAATACACTGTTATATGGACACGATTGAAAAGGATTATCGGAGTCGAAGATTAATAGAATCTCTCACCCCCTTGGGGGTGAGACAGGAGAATCTCAACCCGAGGGGGAAGATTCTTAAGTTGCCAAACACGAGGATTTGCCGAGTGTTTGGCAACTTAAATATCTTTCCCCGAGGGCTGAGATTCCCCTATCTCACCCACAAGGGGGTGAATGATATTTTTCTCTTACCCTGTTATCCCATTGTGTATCATATGCACAATGTAATGATGACGTCACTTGCCAAATTCAGGGTTGACGTGACGTTGATGGATTGTTGACGTGACGTCATTGTATTGTTGAAGTGACGTCATGCCATTGTTATGAATAGAGGAATCCCCTAGGACGAGACAAGGAAATCTCACAACGGTAGAAGTGCTGATACACCTGTCAAGGGTTAGAGAAAATAGGTTGTTATACGGACCTGGTAGAGTACTATCGACAAGGACGCACTCCGAAGATGATATTACTCAATTACATTCATATAACAATGTATTGACCACCAAAAATACCACTAATTTTTATATTACACATCATGTCTTTAGATAGCATGAGCTATTAGCTATCCAAAATATGAGAATGAGATAAATTGTAAAAATGACTAATACACTACCATTTGATTTTTTTTTTTTTTTTTTTACAAAAATGCTTGTATCCAATTATAATACAACAAATAAATAAAAGGCAGAACAATCCAACAAAACTGTAACAAATATGTTTATGTATAAAAGAGTTTGTATTAAAGGGAAAATGATTTATGTATAAAACAGTTTGTATCAAATGGAAAATGATTTATGTATAAAACAGTTTGTATCAAAAAGAAAATGATTTATGTATAAAACAGTTTGTATCAAATGGAAAATGATTTATGTATAAAACAGTTTGTATCAAAAAGAAAATGATTTATGTATAAAACAGTTTGTATCAAATGGAAAATGATTTATGTATAAAACAGTTTGTATCAAAAAGAAAATGATTTATGTATAAAACAGTTTGTATCAAATGGAAAATGATTTATGTATAAAACAGTTTGTATCAAAAAGAAAATGATTTATGTATAAAACAGTTTGTATCAAATGGAAAATGATTTATGTATAAAACAGTTTGTATCAAAAAGAAAATGATTGATGTATAAAACAGTTTGTATCAAAAAGAAAATGATTTATGTATAAAACAGTTTGTATCAAAGGGAAAATGATTTATATAACATCATGACCTTTCAGAGATTAACAAAACATACAAAATGATGTGTTCATTTGTTTTGTAAATGCCAATTACTTCTGGTATGTTTTTAATGTTCTCATTGACCTGACATCATTGCAACTTATGGTAATTGATTATTATAGGCGAACCCCAGACCAAGAATTAGCCGGAACTTATTTTAGATAGGAACTACAAACGTATGAAACACTTGCTGATTGGCTGATTTAAGTCATTAAAGGAAAACTTTACAATTTAAAATGTTGAAATGAAGTAAGTTTTTGAAAGGATATACATTACCGAGTAAAACTGTTAAGTTTGGTGGAAATAAAATGATAAGTTATGAAGAAAAACCAAGTCATAGCCCCTGATGTACATGTGCTATTCAGAGTCAGCACCAAACAATTCTCATTTCACTTACTTAACATTAACCAATTTAGCACACACTCAGCAATGTCATATTTTGCACACACATTCATTACCCATACCACTCACATATTTTTGAAAAGAAAACATGGTGACTCTGTTTCATTAACTTTTACAGTATTTTAAGTAATCAAATACTTAATTTGAGTAAATGACAACTTAACACACTTAGAATTCACACAAAACTCCAAAATTCTACACAAAACATGAGTCATAAAAGTTAATCAGATATCCATCTCAACTGATCAGCTATCAATTATACAGACTTACATATAACACTTCTTGCTCCCTGGGGTGCCGGTACTTTACAGGGAGAATATTGGGGGTAGGGGACATGTATTGCTATAAAAAGTTAATTATCTGAGTAAACATACAACATAAACACATTCAATCAGTAAACAAGATGTTGGTGAAGGTTTATATTATGACAGGAATAACCATAAATCTACAATTCAGCAAAAAAATGGAATTTAAGTTGGATTTAGCCAAAAAACCTATATGTGACACATACACATACAGATACTCACATGTGCAACTTTTGTTAAAGCTTGTTCTGTGGTACTGAGGGGTTACTTGCTGTTCATAGTCTTGTTTCGCAGGGTATAACAGTTATGATAGGCTAGGAATATTGTGTTTTGAGGTCAAACAAATTGCAATACATTTGTTTTCACTGAAATGCATTTTAGTAAGGTCCCCAAAATGACATTCTAAAAGTCCGAAAAAATCTGTGTAGTTGAAGTGTGTTTAATTTACATAAATCCAAAATGGCCACCAATTCTACTGTTTTCTCCTAGATTTAGTCAAAATTTTCACCTTACGTACCTTTTAGAATACTTTTAGTATACTTTGAATGTCTTATATGTTATTTTCAAGAATGCTTTTGTTTGCACAAGGTTTCATGTGCCTAATTGAGTGTCTTATTTTGCATAAATTCAAAATGGCTGCCAATTAAGGCATTTCTTTTGTGTAGAGAATTGATTAAACACATAGTCCTATGTAATATCAGAATAATTGCGATACCACTTATTCATGTTGTAAAATATTTTTGAATTTTCAAATATATCATAATTAGATTCTTTAGTATGCATAAACACATACATATCCACAATGCATTCCAGAGCAACTATAATATATGTCTATATTGGTTAAAAATCTCAGTTGAGTTGTTATTACAGTTGGTAGTCTCCAACAAACATACATTTATGTGGCACGCTGGTCAGTAGTAGCATCTAGTTCTAGGTTTAGTGGTGGTGAGTTGGTGTAACTAGTGCCACGACAATCAGTGCAGGCTGTTGAACATTGGAGGCCATACTTCCGGCACGTGCATTTCTTGGTTGCACAGTCTTTCTTGCCTCCACATCTGATGACTTCAAGGAGTGATGCTGGTGCTGGTGGTTTATCAGTTTGTTTTGGAATATACTCCCATTCGTGACCTTCCAACTCCAGTCTCCCGGTGTCAGGTCGTCTGCCATTCCTTTCCATTCTAATATCTGATAGTACACACGCAAACTGTGGAACTTTGCTGCTGCTGAAGTTGCTTCTAAGGCAGACGAGATTGATGATACCTTTACGCAATATCTTCTGTACCTGAAAGAATATAGTTGAGACACCACCATACAGGCATACACGTGCCCTCTCTCCAGTTGTAATAATGGTCTCCTTCAGGTCTGATGCTGGTTGACTAAACACCTTGGTAAGATCACAGAAGTCGTCAATATTCCTGATTTTCTACAGTGCTACGCCTTTCCCTAGTCCTAATATGCGAGAGACGATGTGTCGGAGCCCAGAGGCGCATGGACAAAGAGAATGTCGCCACACACACACTACTTCCTAGAGTTTCCTTCAGCTGTTTAATATTCCATGTTCGATTCTTCTTGGAGTTTGCCTTGGGCCCAGGCGCAAAAAAGACGTCCTTTGCCTTCAGATCAGCGTAGAAGATCAGCAAGATGAGAAGGTCTGTGACATCCCCGACAAGAACTGTGTCTTTAAACTTAGCCGCTTCTACTGCTGTAGTTACAATTAAGAGATCTGCATCTCCTCTTGCATGAGATACTGTGCAACCATGCATTTCGAGCTTGGAACTGAGTCGGTTTATGAAGCGTTGCTTGTTAACTTCATTCGGAAGAAATTCGTCTTTCTTGGATTTGATTACCATGTCCTCTGCAAAGTTGACAGTCAGGCCTTGACAACCTGCTGATCGTCTAAGATGTGTTGCGTGCTTGATTGAAGGACCGCTTTGATAGCCATCAAAAACAACTGTTGGCCTTTCATATTTGCTGCTGACATAATTGACATATAGCTGGTACATTTTGTTGAAAATGATCCCACTAGGTCAAGGAAAACGGTGAAGTAGAGAACCACCATCCATAACATAATGAACATTACCACTGGGTAGTGTCTGCTCTCGTGTCAGCTCATGTTCAAACACCTTTCAAAGTGCATCTTCTATGACTGGTTTGTCGGCCTCTAGAGGGAGACATGAGGATTCAAAGAGGGCAGGGAGGTGACTGCATAACTCGTAGCTGAAAACTGATGCTAAAGTATCTTCACGTTCTCTAATGACCATGACTAGTCTCTGGGATTCATCGCCGATCTTTCCAGCACCTAATGGCACCGCTTGGTCACTTCTTTTGAATGAATGTTCATCCACTTTTTTTCCAGCTATGTAGTTCAGTATCTTGTTACCGACGTTTTTGAATTGGTCTACATTTACAGTTTTATCTGCAGTCATTCCATTTGCTATACTGTGCAGAGTATTATCTGGACTGAATGGATTACGTTGACTGAGGTAGTTCAGAATTTCTAGCGTGTCGCTAACATCCCTACTCTGTCTGGCACTTGATGCATCCCTGTGTTGCTCACATGTGAAGAGGTAAGCATTAGTAAAATATTGTATTGCGTCGTTTACTTCTGCACCTATTGACATTGACAGAAGCCAAACAGTACGTTGGATTTCGGACATGCCACTGCCCCTTGTGAGGCAACCACTTGTCTTTAAACTTCTCATTAACACCTGTTCTATGATGAGATCGGTAGACAGTCGCGTCCAGTAGCGATCACTTCTCCTAACTACGTGATACTCTTCTCGGAATCTTCTGTAGACTTCCGGGTGTGTGTGTGTTAATTCACGCATCATTTACAAGTAGACATAGGCAGATTTAGCATATAGGATGTGTCCAGAAGCGGCAAAATATGGTAGTATATCATGGATAGCCTGCAGATGAAGCTCCCAGCTTCCTGTTCTCTCAGCTTTGATAAACTTGCGCAAAATGTCTATTATGTCCATAAACTGCAAACAGATAACTGCTGTTCGTGTGGTCATGGTGTCCTTTATTTACTCCTTTATTTGCCTTAGAATTTGTTTCATCTACCAATTCTGTGGCAGACAAGAATCTATCATACAGTTTTTGTGCTTCTCCCAAATCTGTTTCAAACTCTATAAGCGCCACAGCAGCTCTACAAGTTGAAAAATATGACAAATCCTATCCTTAATATATCGGGGACCATTTTGGATTTATGAATACTGCGATGCTCAATTATACAAGATATGCATCTGTATATGATATAAAAAACATAGTACATTCATACAGATGTGCATTTTGTGCTTTTAAGTGCCGCAACATCTACCTATGATAAGAAATGCAAGTCGATCTCGGTGAAAATCCTCGAAATAGCGACCATATTGGATTTATATAAGTTAGACACACTTCCACTGCTTGGATTTTTTTTGGACTTTTCGGTAGACATTTAGGGGATCTCACTGAAATGCATTGCTGTGATTTTTTATTGCAATTTGTTTGACATTTAACTAAGAAATGCAAAATATTATTCCTAGCCTATGAAGAGTCATTCAACCTATGACAAAATGAAAAATTCAAAAAACATAAGACTCAACAAAAATCATGTTCAAATCTGGAGGGTCTGAATATGAAACTATGACAGCACAACTTCATGCAGAAGCCAGCTTACAACTATCATACTGCTGGAATGACCATATTTATTTTACCGAACAATAAAATGGTGCTTAATGCTGAATTGTGCTTTAAAATGTGAGAATACTGTGATATGTAACTTGTGCTAAAATCTGTGGTGTACTTTTTTCACATGGGGGTATGCTGAAACATGTTATTTAAGTTTCAATTTGAAACCTTTTAGAAACTTGAGTTTAATCATTACTTTCTTTTAAACATAGAAATAAATACAATTTGAATGAGGGAAGTGGCCTAAGAATGACTGAGAAGAGGTGGTTGGACAGGGAGGGGGAGAGCGTGTGTGTGTGTGAAAATTGTGCAGGACAGCACATTATATTTCTGTTCTATGAAGATTTAGGTGCTAAAAGCTAGTACACATCTCATAATAGTACTATTGAAACAAATACAGATAAATTATTTCAGTAAATTGAACACAATCCTAATAAAAAAACTGAGTATTAGGGTCAGTCCAACTATACTGGCTTTAGCACAGAGCCATATTTAGCCCAGATTTAACCCAATTATTAAGTTTTATCAAGTTATATCTATATATTCACATACTAAACAAAATGTGCTAAGACCCAATAACAGTGGCTGTATTTAAAACAAATTGTGTGGAACCACACAGAAAGTTGTGTGAGAGGTCAGGTTTATTGAGCACATGGCTATTTCCCTTAAAATCAAGAAAACCCGGAACATATGTTATAGATGTAAATATATACACAGGAAAACATAGATAGCACTGTGATAGCTTCTTGAGTTTATTGTAGATGGCTGAATATGTACTTTTATTTCATATACATGTACATATATTCTCAAAATCACAATATTTTTCACGTATTTGTTCAAAGTGTCAAATAAAAAGAAGACCACCGTTCAATAACACTTATGTTTTATTGTTTGTGTGCAGATTGTTTCTAAAATTATTGTCAGATTATTGAAACATAATATGAGATAATTTATAAAGAGGAATTTCCGTGTTAGTGATTTTCTTGATTTTTGCGATATGGTGAATACGAATTCAATTAGGTAATAAACCTAGCATATTTAACAACCTCAAATTTTAAAATTCATCACATTTTCAACTTTAAACACAGAAATAACTCAGATCGAATCAATGCTATATGGAGTTTCAAGGTCAGCTAATGTTCATAAATATGAAAAAGCCATCGCCACCTAATGTACCTAGAGGTATTTACAGTATACAGTTTACTTGTATATCAGATATAAAACCCCCTAATAAAAGGACGACCAGTATTCATTGAGTTATACGTTTTCCTATAGTCAACGTATCAGATACAGATGGGGTCTCGTATAACAACGACGATGTGTCATCTGGAACACCATTGTGGGCCTACGTACAAAACCAGAACTTCCTGCCCTCAAGCAAAGCTACAGAACAACGGAAGTTCGCAAGAATCTCTTATTCAGAAAAACGAAGTGAACTTATAAGCTTTCGACACAGAGATCCATATAAAGCCCCCATGGATGATAACCATTGTGACAGAGTTTTAAATAATGTGTGGATGTTTCTTAAAACCAGGAAATTGTCTGGATATTAGAAATGAATAACCTGAAATAACTAAACAGCCGTTACCGATATATTATATGTATTCTATAGTGAATCATTTTAAATAGTTCTATCATTAAATGAGATCTTATAAAAAAAACAGGCTTGTTACTATAGCACACTATGAATAGTGACGAGAAAAACATCAATACGAAAAGAGGAAACAAACATTTGTTAAAAGAACAAAGATAAAAATATATGTATATATTTCAATTATATTATATTAGAACATACAGGAAAGGTAAGCATCCTAATCGAGTTTAATTATAATCAATATTACTATCCATCTCAACCATGTGTTGACTGGTGACATTTCACAATCAGGATATTTAGTTTTGTCAGATATTGCAAATCTGGAAAGATTCCACATAGAACACCACAGGCCTGCCATCACCGAAAGTTCAGCTTTCCTGTCCTGGTCTTTTTAAAACATTGTCCCTTAAACGCTTGATTACAATGAAACGGACGCCGCAGAAATTGATGTTAAAGCACCGTTCTATCCTCTTGTTTTTCGTTCACATTTTGTTATAGTCATTTCCGGCATGCCACAACAGATGACCTCAGAATTGGTGAAAATAACAACTTCCGAAGTTTACTTGCCAACGGATCAAATTATCCAGAAGCACCATCCATTAACTCAGAAACTCAATTTCAAAGTCATTTCGAATGCCATAAAAACAATTCTAGAAATGAGCAACCATGATGAACTTAACAGACGTCTATCTGTTTGCAGCGGTTAAATTATTCAAGCATGTTATTCAGATTCGAATTTCTAGTTTGTGGAAGGTAATGGAATCAATCTCCATGGCAATTGTGTTGTTAATACTACTCTCAGGGCATCTAACGACAGCATATTTGTAAAAGCTAGTATGTAAATATGCCGTAACAAAGAGCACGGTTTGTTGTACAATGATGGTAATTATTCTCATGCTTGTCAACATATTTAACAAACAAAATATCTACCGATCATCAGTCGTGTACCTGAACTATTTGACGTGTCAATAACAAATATTGATGCTGACTTATCTTTCTATCGGAGTAGTGTTCTTAAACTTGTCTACTGGGTAAAAATATATTTTCTCTCTCTTGTTTTTCCCCATATGTGTAGCCTTCGTAGACTTGTTTACTTAGCACAATATCGTTCAAAATGGAATGACGCTCTTGTTCAAGCATTATATTTTAAAATATGTAAATCAATAATCAAATTTTAATCAATTTAATCAATTTAGCAATTTAAAGTTCCCCAATGCACTTTTAACAGATAATAATTTTGACCAGTCTATTTTGTTTTTCTCTAAAATGATGTCATTTTCCCCCATTTGTAATTAAGAGTCAACTTATGAAAAATGAAGGGAATCAGTCACACGGTTATTGCTATTGTCTTGATCACAACATTGCATTACTACTCCTGCTTTTAAACAATGTCGGTTATTTCTTTTAGCTTGAAACCATTGTTTAAGAAATGAGAAAAACACTTTATCAAAGCTTCATCAAACATGGACCAGAGAATGTAATATGATGGTAATTGCTATCTGCCAGGGTGATGTATTGTTCCTAATAGTAGGGATTACCATGCGTGTCAGAAGTTTTCATCAGAGATGGGCTATACAAGGTTTCTGTAGCTAGTGTCTTTAACACGTTAATACAGTCAGGTGCTACTTTTTGTGAAAAAAAATCATTTGTGGACTGCTATGAAGTAGCTTTATGTAGATAATGTGGAAACTCGCCTCTCAAAATGAACCAGATTAATGTTTTAACATAAGAAAAATACAAGTAACAGTTCCACATGTTGTCGAATCAAAATATTGCCTTTTAGCGTTATGGCCATTAACCGTTTGAATATCTGGAAATCATTTTAATTCTGCAAAAGATTGATTTTCGCAGAAACTCATGAGGAAACTCGTTTACGAACTTGGATTATCCATAAATATTAATTCCATATATCAGTATTGAAATAGCATCCTCACAATCTCCAAGTCAAGTATTTTGAAATAACACCTTCAGATATAGTTAGCCTAAGAAATACACGTAAAGATAAAATAATTTACAGCATCATGATGTATAATTATCAAATGTAAATAATACACGTTCCTTCTGACGTCTTTAATGTGTCTTCAGTGATTATAAGAGTCCCTGTTACAGTTCTTATAGATGTAGTACAAACAGGTTAGTGTAGATCTTGTTTAGTAAGATATTCCCAACACAGTTAGGTAGCCTATTCTATCAGTTCAACATCATTTCCAAATGATTGAATTGAAATTACGTCGTGACACCAACTCAAGCAATAAATCTACTGCGATCCTATCAAGATGAAAATGCACTTTAAATTGTAGGCCTCAAGTCTTTTAACACACATCCCCAATCAATAAATGTGTACTTATACGCTGGAAATGCTAAATTTCATATTTGCGTTACCATACTTTAGATTAGCAAGCCCTAGTTAAGGTATTAAAATCGGTTTAACTAGTTCGTAGGCACTAAACATCTGATTGTATAAGACGGTATAATTTGACTTACAAAAACACATACAAAAGTACATTTCCAACCAATAAAGGTTAGTGTTATAATATGATTGAGCGTTTTACATATACT